AAAACTAAATCTAATAGTGGTAAAAATAACCCAAAACAGTCAGACATTTATAGTAGTGAACTGGAAATCTTTACTACTTTTAAAGGTTTCTAACACACATTCTTGCACATAGGAAACTTTTTTTGGTGGTAAAATTCTGAATGAATGTATCAGTTTAATTTACATTGAAAATAGAAGTTGTAGTTGTCCAACTCACTCTTTGATTAAAGTTGGGTCTTTTTTGTTATTTAATACTTTACAGTTTGTTCAGATGTAGAGTAGTTCTTACTGTCAGAGTACTTCGACACAGAATGTTTGCAATAATAATGTAAAACCACCTTGTTGATAGCAGCATCCTAGGAAAAAACCAAACCCTCCTGCTAGCCCTGATAGAGAAGAAGTTTTTATTTCAGAGGTTTTGTCTTTGCTTCTCACCATGCAGCTCTATTTTAATTGACAATAAATTAAACTAATTTTCTCTGACTTCAGTCTGTTTCACTTGGTAGTTGTTAAGCCATGTCCTCATCTTTATCTCAACCCACAACCTTTTTCTTCCTACTTCTCTCCCTTATTCTTTTGAGGAAGGGATGTGAGAGAGCTGCTGGATATTCAGTTGAGGTTGACTCACCACACTGTGCTAAGCACAATCACTCAAATTTTTGCAATGAGAAATTTTCTTTGCTATTCTGAAATAAAATCTTCGGCTTCAGCATCAAATTTCCTTCACTGTCTTCTTCAGTAATACCAAAAGGATCTATAGTTCTTGTTAGAGACCCTAAATCTCTGAAAATGGTACAATACAAAAGTGTGTGCAGTCACACAGCACTTTTTACCCCAAGAAAAGAAACCTTTTTTTTTTTTTTTTTTTTTTTTTTTTTTTAGCTAGCAAAATATACACTTTGAAAGTTCTTAATGTTGGACTAGAAAGGCAAAAATATACTTTGTGTCAGTGCTGGCCCATTTTTCACTTCTCCTACGCTGGTTGCAGAGTCCTCATTATTTCCTGACCTCTCAGTTATTTTTTTCCAGTTTCACTCATGTTGGTTTTTTGTATTTGTATTTTAAAGCCCAGTCATTGGGTACATTCTCCAGCCATATGTAAACAATTCTGAATAGTTCACTCAAACAAATCCAGACATGTCTACATGTTTCAAAATCTATACAATTTCTCTGCTTTTTAATGGTGTATTATGCAATAACTTGCAAAAAGAATTGCCCCTCAGTGCTTGCACCAAAGCCCTCAGCTCCTTTATTTGTGCCTATACAGAATTTAGTGTCATAATACAGCAAAGTGTCACTAAAATGACCCTGACTTAGAAACACTTCTCTGTTTTTCTTCTTTTTTTTTTCCCCAAGTATCAGAAAAAGACAATTTTCATCCTCAATAAAATTCAACCTCTTACTTGTAGGAAGTCATTGTTAAAAGTAAGCATAATGACAAATCTAAGACATATTTTTCATTAAAAAAAAAAAAAATCCTGTACTGCTATTAAACATAAAAGGAGATAGAATCCAGGACTAAGTGATATAGTAGCAAAGAGGGATGCTGGTCACAATGTCTCATTTCTGATATTCTAGTTATTCCACACTTGAAATCCACCTTACATCTACACATGGTTTTCCTTAATCTTTTTGTGCAAGCAGTAACATTTACAAAAGTCTACCAAGAAAATCCTACCACAAATTTCTTTTTACAGCCCTAATTTCCTGATGTTTTTGAAATGCTAGTGTGCTAGTGTAATTGAGAAGGGGTTGGAGTATTGTGGGTACTGTTCACTGCAAAACACTAATATTTCCAAAGTCAAAGTATTTATGACATAAAAGTTACAGCCAGATGCTGCTGTCACTATCTCAAAATATAATCAGACTGTATGAAATGGATTATTATGCCCTCTGTGGTGCATAGCTTTATAGTATTAAGAGTAACTTAGAAATAATGAAAACTGATATTGATGGGATCTGTTCTTGATTGTGCACAACAAGGCAGCCAGGAATGCTCAAGGAAACCAAAACAACAATAAAAATAAATTAAAGATCTAGTTGCAGGCCGCAGATGACTCTTATTTTTTTGTACCACATTTTAAGTAAAAATTTGGCAGGTTAGTAAACTTACTTAGCATCTTTAGTGATCCTTTGAGTATGACTTCTATGATGAAATAGACCTTACTGGAAAAAATGTTTTAGGCTGTTGGACTGTATAAAGTAGTGTAATTGAATTGACTAAGCTGAACTGGATACAAAATTTGAATATTTCTTAGGAGGTGCTTACAGGTAGATATATTAACAAATATGTTCTAAACAATGCTGGACAGGACTAAAGGACAGATGAATAAAATCTAATATTTGTATTAGCCAGAGTGATAATTTTCACATGCTGCAGGGTGTTACACAGAAAGAATTGAATACATCAGTGTATAAAAACTGTCAGCAAAGTATTTACATCTGCATAATCTGCATCAATCGGGATATAGATAGCTATAAATGGATACAACATGGATAGAATTTCTTGCTTATACAACAGAACTAGAGTAAAAACTCAATAAAAATACTATTTCCCCATTTTGCTACCAAAATAAAAATTGAGTGGAGAAATTAATTTTTAATTTGAAAATGCTTCACTTGTAGCTACACTTATATACCAAAACAAGACCAAAATGTGCTTTGTGCAATTTTTCTTAGACATTTGGAGATATTTCTAGCTTGATTCTTAAAGGACATTTTCTGTATTCATCTTGTCTACAACCTATTACAATTTCCTACAGGAGGCATATAGGCATTGTCAAGCTCAGTGCAGCACTACTGATTTGTTAAATGGCTGCTTGCTTTGTTCAAGGCATCAGTATGGGTTTTTAGTTTACATATATTGTTGGTGTAGCACTCATATTTCCCAGATATACTTCACTGTTTCAATGTTAACACTGAAGAACTTAACCAAAAGCAAGTTTTAAACAGATGTTTTTAATTGCAGCTAAATCTATATTCTGCTGCACTATAGCTATCAGTTTTGTCTAACTTACTGAGGAAAACCATGCAGCAACTCAGTCCAAACTAAGGGTTTGTTCTAGATTGTGCAGCAGTCCATGGAAACAGTTTTGAGAGATGATGTCTACATTGCATCGTTACATTATTGCTGAGAGATTCAATTCTCAAGGGACTTGGAGATCACAGAAGTCTTGTCCTAGCATGGGTACCTTCAGGACTGCATCTTTTACTCTCTCCCATGTCCTCCAAACATTTGTTTTCCCTCAGGTAAAAGATGCTGCTAGGCTCCTCTCTTCAAGCAGCCCAGTTGCAACCCCAGATACTGAGAAAGATGTGCTTGTGTGTAGCCGCTTATTGCTGGTTTTCACTGTTCCTGCTCTAAAATTAATTTCAACTTCCACAAGAGAAAGAAGCTTGGCAGTCAGGGCTGACTTTTGGCTACACCTTATTTAGGCTAAGGAATTTCTTGGGTATAACATAGATGAGCAAATCTAAGAGACAAAAGGAATGCAGGACAACGTGGACTTCAAGGTGGTAGCAGAGGAAAAAGAATCCTCCACAGTATGTTTAACTTGATTTTCCATGTTTGCCACAGTAACAAGCCTGCTTGGCAGGAGTTAAGTGAGTTTATACGGACACTGCAGAAACCCATAGTTGCGAGGTAGTTACTGCAATTCTTCTTGCATGGGTCAATCTATGAATATCTATGCACAGGTTCTGTACTGACATTTATGTTCTGGCCAGCCTGACAGAGGCAAATGAACCTACTGAAAGAAGACAGGTGAATTCCAGTGTCATGTCTTACAGAAATAACCAAGTGTTCAGAAAACTCCTGCAGGAGGGCTCTGCACCTGATGTGTTTGCTTCTGGATCTATTTGAAACATCAGTTGTGCTGTGGTTTGAAAACACTTTGCCAACATGGCTGAGGCTTTCTGCATACCTGACATAATTTAAATGTACTGCATAATATCTCTGAGGGACTTGTGGTGTACCCAAAGGTGACTGGGAGGGGAATCCAGCAGTAATTATCATTCATGACCACAGAGAATATAATCATGGCTATGGTGTAAGTACAGAGCACTTGGCAGCTGTGTTGTGAGATATTTGCCCTTTCCCAGAAGTCAACTGCTATTCTAAGACTTGAAGTGATTATAATGACTTCATTGTCCATGTCTATTTTGGAGCCACCCAAAGAAGGAGGGAATAGAAAATAAGAGCAAGATCTACACCACTTGCTCTGGATACCAGACTACCTTTCAATCTTGTCCCTCACAGCCTGCATCTGAAAGGTTGAAGAGACATGGCTCACCAGAATGTGTGCAAAATGGAGGACGTGGACCTGATCTCCAAGAAATTTAGGGACAGAAAAAAACTGTTTAACATCTGACAGAAATCCTGGATAGCCTCCAGGTTTGGAATCAACAGAACTCCAGAATCAACTAGGAACATATCAAAGGCTTCTAGGAAGATCAAATAAGACCTGCCTTGGGGATGAATGTACCTATGGGTGATTTTTGACATTGGAAAATCTGAAATTGGATACCAATTATACACTTAGAAGAAAAAAAGGTGAAACTCCCAACCATACTGAGGCACTCCTCAAAATTGCTCAAATTAATCTATACAAAGTGCAGATTTTTTTTATTGAGTGCAGAGAATTTTTTATCTGAAGTCATATAAATTTATGGATTAATCTAATCCTCAATCCATAGATAGGAAATTTTCAAATTATAGTTTCGGATCCTTTTATTACAAAATAAAATTTAAAATCCCATGCTAATACCTTAATGTCTCTATTTTGATAAATTTCAGATATCCTGTTAAATAAAGAAGGGAGCTGGTTTTTACATTACAGTATTTGAAATAATCAAAACTTGTACATAAAATTATTACTGCTATCATCAGCTTACAGTTTACCTTATTGGAAGTCTTAGCCATGCATTGACTTTTTTTCTTTTAGAAATTAGAATCTCCTCCCATATATTTGAATGCTGTGATTTCATCAGCTAAAGGTAAAATGAAGTTAAAATTTACTCACTTATTTTATTTCTCACTTCATTTAATTTCTCTCCAAGGCATTTAGCTTCATCAAACCTGTTAATGCAAGCATAATGATACAGAATTATTCTAAAGAATAAATAGTTACAGAAGCTTACAGCAATAAAATACAGTATTACTCAGTACTAGCTTTTCATTTTTAAGTAGAACTAATTGGAAGCAATTTTCCATTAGGAGAGATTGCGTGATCTAAGAGAAACTATCTTGAAGAGTCTTGATTAAGACAAAGAAACTGAAGAAATCCAGAAATTGTATTTCTAACTCAAATAAGAATAAGCAAATATGGCTTCTCCCTACAAAGGTGGGATGTGAAAAATTTCCCCTTCTCAGTTCATTTCTTCATAAGACTGGAAAAAGTTTGAATTTCAAGTGCCTACTTGAGCATCTGCTCACAAACATATGCTTTTATGGCTGAATTCCACAAGGCTAAATGGCTGAAGCTGGAGGGTTCCTGGGCACTTACTCATTCTTACATAAAAAAGGTGGAAGCCATTGACGCTTCTGTTAGACTTTAGAAAATCTTTTTCTACTGGGCTTAGAGCTCTGAGCAAGCATTAAGGATTGCCTAAATATCAAAGGAAATAAGCCCTGAAGTACCTCTCTCCTTCTTTCCCTCAGGTCTCATAGTAAGTTCATAATTTACTTATTATTTATTCGTTCCTGAGACAAATCTCATGTTGGCTGTTGACTCTGATTCATGTTCATAGAGAGATTTATCTGGAAAAGTTGAAGCCAGATATTTATCCAGCCTTTATTCATAGGTTACTGCCAACAGTTGAATAGGTTGTGCATCTGTTGTTCAAATACCATTGTTTATAAACCAGCACAATAACATAAACTGAAATTTGGCGTGAATTTATGACATTTCAACAGATTCCATCTGTGACTATGAATCCTAGTCAAACAAAATAAATCAGGTAAATACACAAAACTTGACTCTAATATTGAATAGGACAAAGCTATTTTCTTTAATAAAAAAAGGGCGATATTATGTAGCATTAAGGTGATATTGCTATGCATAGTGATGACTGAACAATTATATTATTAGCTGAAAAAACTTCATTTATATCTTACATGGAAACCACTCAACTGAAAAGGCTGAAATTGCCAAATCGTGTCTTCTATTACCTACAAGATAAATACTCCATGATGAAACCCCAGAGCGAACTTAGCCACTAATTTTAGTGGAAAAAGCATTTTTGGCAAAGATGTCACTCTTTGAATGCAAATTTCTGTAATTAAAATATAAACATCTTGGAAAACAAATCTCTAACTCATTATGTAAACTAAGACAAACTCAGGGGCTGTCTAATGAGAGAGACATTCAGTGAATTAAATGAGTATTCACTTGTTTTTAATTATTAGAAATTACAGCAAGTGACCCAAGTGAAACTCATCCTTTCCATGAAACTTGCCCATAGTAACTGAAAAAACAAGTTAACAGTTAACCAGCTAAAAAACAGAAAGCAAGGAAAGAAGAAAATGGAAGAAAACAATGAAGAACAACAAAAGGAAACTAAATTTGCAACTAGTAAGCTCAGTAGAATCATACTACTGGAAATATTGTCGAAGAAAAGATTTAGAAGCTTTGTGCAATATGCATTACATTGGAGTGGCACAACTGTAAAGATTGCTTGGTAGCATATTTCACCAGAAAATGGGATGCATTTTTCTCCTCTTCAGAGAAACAATCCAAAGAGAACATGATTGCATTAGGAAATAGGATATTATTAAGTACTCTGGAAGTCAGGTATAGAAAGTTCAAATTGCAGAAATCTGATTCTGTCTGGGTATCAACCCAGGGTGGTTTTTTTTTAAGCAGGGAAGCAGTTATTAATGTATGGAAGAAAAAATGAAAAAGAATTGCTGTAAAGCTGTAGAAGATCACATTTTCTATCTTACAAAGGCACTTCCCATAGGCAACTTGAATTGAAGGCAAATTGAATCAATTTTGTTTCACTTGAGTTATCTTCGACTATATCAGTTTTCCCACTTTTTAAATTCAGAGACATTACTGAGTTACAGTATAAGCTACTGCACCTGTGATGTGCTCTGACATAGTAGGTGAAAAGCTTTATTCAAAATCAGATATTTTCTTTTATATTTTTAACAAAACAAATACTTTTCAGTATTTTATTTAATTAGTTGAGTGCCTTTGGTCATTTTTACACCAGTAGTTACAGAAAAAGAATATCTATATTTTATATGTATGGCTATGTATGGTCACATCTATACGAATAATTTCACAGCCCAAGCAACAGTTGTGACCTTCACAGTGAAACTTCCAAGGCTCACTGACAGTTCCCCATTCAATTACTATAAAAACGACACAAGGCACAACTGATGTCTTACTGAGATGTGCCAGGAGCTCCTGAGGAAATAGGAGCCAACAGGGGAACACCAAGGAAATATTTCAAAGGAATTAAGGTGTGCTCTTCTAAGAAGATGGAGCAGCCAACAGCTGAGGTGTCTTTATACCAATTCATGCTGCGTGGGCAGCAGACAGAAGAAACTGGAAATCACACACTGCTAGAAAACTGTGATCTTGTTGCCATTACTGAAACTTGGTAGGTCGAATCCCATGCCTTGAGTTTGCCTGCCAGTGACTACAGATTGCCTGAAGAGACAAGTGAGAAGAAGGGGTGCTCTCTAAACCAAGAGTGGACTGAGTGCAAAGAACTGCCTCTAAATAACAGTTATCTGAGCAGGGTACCTGTGTCCTTTGTTATGCAAAGGGCAGTGCCAGTTCAAGGCCTTTTTCCTCGGGCTCCTGCCAACCAGAGCTCAAAGTGCAGCTGCACCAAGCTACCATCAATCAACGTATTCACCACCACTGTGTCCAGTTCTGGAGCACAGGAAAGACAGACCTGTTGAACTGTGTCCTGAGCAGGGCCCCAAAAATCATCAGAGGGCTGGAACACCTCTTCTGGGAAGACAGACTGAGAGAGCTGGAGCTGTTCAGCCTAGAGAAAAGAAGGCTCCAGGATGACCTTACTACAGCATTTCAATATTTAAAGGGAGATTATACAAAAAATGGGGACATGTTTTAGCAGGGGCTGTTGTGACAGGACAAGGTGTAGTACTTTAGGGTAGTTTAGACTAGGTTTAAGAAAGAACTCTTTTACAATGAGAGTGCTAAAACACTGGAACAGATTGCCCAGAGAAGGGGTGGATGCCCCATCCCTGGAAAAGTCATTCAAAGTCAATCTTCACTTTGCTCTGAGCAACCTGATGTAGTTGAATCAGATTTCAAAACCTGCTTTTTGCAGCAGGGTTTGACTAGATGACTGTTAAAGATTCCTTCCAACTCAGCCTATTCTCTAACTCTATGATAATTATCAAACCAAGAAAATCTACCCAAAATACCCAAAGGAAAAAACAAGACAGCTAAAAATAAGTAATTTGTGAACCAAACACTGTTTGTGGTATGACAGAAGTGGTTATGCAACTATAAACAAAATTATTAACAGGAGAAGCCTACATATAAAGGGAAGCTATGGTAACCTTTAAACATGTGGTGTCCACACTCTTCCTGTGCAATTTGAACACTGGCTGGGTAACAGAGCTTTTGTGTAACTAGTAGTTGAGAGGTTGCATTCACAATTACAGACTGGATTTGATACAAATCCATCCTAATGAACTCGGTAAACTTGGAGCTAAGCATCTTTGCTAAAAATGACAGCAAATGGCAGGGGAAACTGCCTATTTCAAAGTATCAAAATTCACATTAGCACTGATTTCAGAAATCAGCTGATGCCTATTAGAGAGGAGTTACACAAGGCATTAGAATGAATTTTTGTCCTTTAAAGAAAGCAAATCTGTCATCAAACTTAGTAGATTTTGCTCATCTCTATTATGTATTCTGAAACCAGAAGGAAATATTGGTTTGCTTCATAGTAATAACATACAGAAAAAATATGGAAGAATTGTGATTAACTAGAAGAAAGGCAGAGCATGGCTCACAGCTGTATTGCTCTCATTACCATGCTGTAACTATTAAGTGTTCTATTAAATAGCAACACCAGAAATTACTGCAGTGTAATAATTTATGTAGTGATGACCATGCTGTGGCATGATCTGATAAACTGATCAGAAGAAAAGCATTACTAGATACCCAGTTTACATGGATAAATGCTTTCATACATCTAATATCTTAGCAATTTGCATTCATGTGGCTGAGGTATAGATCCAGGTAAAAAGTAAATCAGTTCAAAAAAGTGATAAATAGCAAGAACCTGGGTAAGTCACAAAGATATGGAGATAATTTCTTGCCTCAAATTTACTGAAAGAAATTGAGTATAAGACCTGGTGAGCCAAAAAAATGTATTCCATTCCTGTGAAGTAGAAAACTGTGTTAAAGAAAAAAGAAGAAAGCAGAAGAAACCTGGAGAAGGAGAAAACCTCAGGACAAAAAAAAACTCCACAAAAACCAAACCAAACCACAACACCCCATAATCAAACAAACAAACACCTCCCTGAACCAAACAGAACAAATAAAATACCCCCAAGCAACTCTTAGGGGAAATGTTAGTTATTGAGAGATTTGCTTTTAGCATCTGACATCTCAAAGCCATGCATTTCTTTTGCAGTACTAGAGGGTTAACATTTGAAAAGTTGACACTGAAGCAGTACTGTTATCCAACCAACATAGACAAGTGTTGCTGATTTAATGTGTGAGGTTTAAAATCTGTATGAAAATCCATGTTTTCAATGTTTTGCCATTATCACTATTTTCACCAGACGCATGAAGGCTTTTGCCAACATTAAAAACAAATGTGGAGGACAAAAGTATTATTTTTGTTTGCGAATGCAAAACTGGCTGAAAGAAGCTAAAATCACTTGGCAAAACAGGTTAGGGACACCAGACATGCATGCATATGTTAAACATCTCCTAGCTTGCTATCCAATTCAGTGCTGAAGTCAGTAAAGCATTTTTGACAATGGAAATTACAGCAATTGATTCAGTCCCATGGATTTTACTTCCCCTAGATAATTCTTGATCATGAATGTCATTGCCATGTTGCTTCAACATGGCTGTGAAGATGAATAAAACCAGTGGAAATATGCACAAAGATTCCTCATGCTATTTTCATTTCTATCCAGACTTCTATCACCACTCATGCCTTCTGAATATGAAATGTCTTAAGTAAGAAAAGGTGAAGGGCCTGTAACGAGTTCTCAATAAAAGGCTGGGATGTCTGGTGTAAAATTATGTGTTCCTGCCCAGACTGCTAGTGAAGTCTCAGATGTCTTCCCCCAGCTGTATTTTCTTATGACACCCACCTCTGCTTCAGAAGCTGTTTGTTGTCCTCAATGGTTATACTGTCAGCATGGTCCCGCTTGAAAACTTCAAAAGCTTCCTGACATCCAAGTGACATCTCTCCTCCTGCCCCAAGGTAAAAAAAAAAAAAAGATAACTTCTTCAGTGTCATCAGAAGAGAGATTTTGCACTTATTTAAATCCTTTTTAGATAAATGCAGCAAGTCAGCCCAGAGGTTTTAAAGCAAAGAGAAGATGAAGTTCTGTCTTCCAGTGATTGGAAAGCATTTTGACAAAAGATTTCTATTATCTGATAAATTACTTATATTTCACATCATTTCTCTAAAGTCTGAATGCTTGGGATGTATAATTCCTCAAGATAATTTAAAATGTTGATAAGTAAAACTGAACTTTGAAAATTTAAAATATGTGAAATATTCTTAAGTGTGAGCCAGAGGTATTTTCACAACAGCACAATGAAGTTTGCTTCTGTATGTTTTTCATCTGTTTCACATTGGGCCCCAAGTATGCCTTGAATATTTTCAATATTCTTGGAAGAAAAAAGTCAGGCATCTTTAATAATATATTAGCAAATACTTTTCCATACCCTTTTATGTAAAGCAAGAATTCTACATACACAAATGGTTGGTGCCTTTTTCCATTTACAACATGGTGTTTGTTTCCTTTTGTGCACCAGAATGTCAAGATTTATTTGGCCTTCAAATCTTTTAAAATAACTACAGAAAAATATTACAGTATTATTTTCAGTTCTTACTGCTAGATAATCTACACATTCAATAAGATATATTGTATCTGTAGTATTATTAACAAAAACATTCAAAGGCTTAAGGAGAATGAGAGCTCATGCCAGCATCTGTGTTATCACCAGTACATATACATCAATAAATAAGCGAGAAGGATGAGACTTGCACTTAAATAAACTACAGGAATGAAGATAGTTCAGGAGCAGAAAGGGGGAGGACTCTAACACTCAAACTTTGTGAAGAATGACAAATAACTCCACCTTTAATTCAACCTCCAGGTTGCAACTTAAACCTCAAAAACTATATTCCTTAAACTGGAATTTGATTCTCTTTATTGTCCCTTCTTGAGTCTTTCTTTTGTCCTACCCACAGGTCTGCCTTCCTGCCTCAGAGCTATCCAAGACCCCCAAATCCATTTTGAACAAGAGCTGTAAAACTCCCCAGGATTTTTGCTGTGCAAGAGTTTTCTCTATATTTTATGCCAATGGACCAGCATTAGCAGTAACATATGCACATAAACCAGCTCGTTTCCAGGCTACCTGCTTTGTAATTTTGGTGTAAGGTTTTTCTCCTTCTCCAGGTTTCTGCAGTTTCTTCTGCTTTCTTTAACACATTTTTCTCATTTCATAGGCATGAAATACCTTGTTTTCAGGGTCAGCATCACCAAGTCTTATACTCATTTACATCAGTGGAGCTGAGGCAAGAAATAGTCAAAACATGCCTAAACAGGCTGGGATGTGCAGTACTGGTATGTTACCCCTCACTGGTCCATAAGCTGCATTTTAAAGTCATTCAAAATACTGGTGCACCTCATCATACATATATCTGGATAAGTTCCCATTGACTGCAGCAAGAGTTCTGTGATATAAGATACTGTTTACAGAGAAGGCTGGTAACAAAAACTAGGACTCAGGGTTCAATGGTCAGTAAAAGCGTAAAAAGATTTCTTTAAAATACAGAAAAAAATTTACCCCGTTTCAGTCAAAAGAATAGAACATCTGTTACTAATTCAAAAATTTTGAGTTGAAAATAGAACCACCGGGAATGTCTGAATGGCAAAGCATGCAGAAATGCTCCACCCTTTCTGTATATGAAAATCAAAGAAAGATAAAGTGCACTATTTACTCTTGTGTGATCCAAAAGAGCAAGAGAAGTCAGGAAAAAAATATTTTTTCTGCGGTGATGACCTGAGAGTGTAATGTTCATGTTTCACGCTTGCCTTGTAGAAAAACAGGCAGCTTTGTGAGCAGAATTTTATAGTACATTCATCCCAGCTCTAGCACTAATTTTAACATGCAGCCTGAATTGACCCCCTACAATTGCTTTTACTGCAGAAAAAACTTGTATTAAGTGCAGAAAGCCTGGAAAAAAATTCATGATCAAGCCTAAGATAAACAATGACATGCCCTTACTCATACTGCAATGTAAAGTATTTAACTCTTCTGGCCATGTGATGCCTTTGAGAGTACAAATGAAAACAGTAAAGTTTGGAAAACAAAACTATTGCAGTGATTATTGCTACTGCCTGGCAGAAATGCATCAACCAAAATTAAATGTAACCTGATAATAATTTTCCAGCACTAGCTTGAAAAGGCATCAAATCTGTACAGCCAAACAAAGCACACAAAAATAGATCCCCAGAACACTTTGGAAGGGGAAATTTTCTGGTTGATCCTGTTAATTTAAAGAAAATAGAGAAACATATGAAGTAGTAAACAAATCCATTCTGAAAACAGTATAAAAGGAATGAAACAGAAAGGACCATTGAAGTTGTATTTCAGTATAATATGAGCATACATCAGCTACAGAATAATGTTGCAGCCTATGGGCAGCAACATTTATGGAGAAAATAAGGGAAGACAGCAATGTAAATAACAGTAAAAGACTGCAAGAGATGTTGAAAGCTTGATGGAGTAGTTGTGTTTTCATTCTGCTCAATAGTGAAGCTTAATTCTTTTCCATGGTTGATGTGGTATCTTCAATCATGATGTTTACATTTCCTTAAATAATCTGTAATTTCATAAAATAGCCTCACCTTCTTTCAAATGACCTCTGAGTGCCATGGTGCATTAACATTATTGGCATGCTGTTTTCTCCTGGGCTTAATTCTAACAAATAAGCTTTATGTTATTTTAAACCAAGATGTTATTGGATTTGTTTTTCTCTAGCTTTGAAATTGAAATCTATGTACAGCAATACCTACATTACATAAACAAAAACAGAATTAAGAGAAGAAAGTGATGATAAGGACAAAGTTTTGGCAGGACAGTGGAATAGCTAGCTAAAACTTGTAGAGAAAACAATTTATTGCACTCAAAGAGCCAAAAAATTCCTCCTCTCCTTCTTAATTACCATGGCATAATGTTACAAAATAAATATTTGAAAATTCTTATCTAAGGAAGAACTATCATATCCTGCAGGATGAGAACCAGGAAATACATGTCATCAAGTCATTACAATGTGACCTGGAATAGTCATTACCATAAAAATAATTCAGATCATTGGAAAAAGCATAAAAGTTTCTTTCAGTCACATTCATGAAACCCCAGCTGACAAGATTGCATAAAAAAAGAGATAAAGTTTGTGTCAACCTAATTTTAATGATACCTTTCCTGTTAGATTGTGTAATTTGGCTTGAATACTAAAACACAAATATGCCCAACTCACACAATGAAAAATTCGCAGCAAACCCATCATCATTTATAGCAAATTCACATAGCTGAAATTTTTGGTAAAATTCAGGTTCAATCCACATCATGAATTTGTGTGTTTAGGAATGTTCTCACTGAAGGTTTGATTTCAGTCTGTTCTCTGACCCAGTGAACCCTCTCAGCTTTCATATTAAGCAAAAAAATGTTGTTCAATAGGCTCCTCTGCTGAAATGTGCAAATTACAGCTGTCCCACTGAACTTGAGTAAGTCAGCAGGGTGACAATGATGTCTCCCAAACTCTGAACTAGAGCAACAAGATCTGATATGATCAAGAAATAGAAATGTTGCTGTAGTATTGATAATGGGCTAAACTCTCAAACCCAGTAATTATTCAAAACACAGTGAGCAAAAACATAATAAGGCTTTTGGTTGCTACTTTAAGGTGCTTTACTTTTTAAGGTGAGAAAAGACAAAAGTGATTTAAGGACGCAGTTGTATGCTTATAGGAGGTAGAAGCCTGCATATAAGTCAAGATCCTGGAAGATATTGTGCATGCTATTCTATCACTCACTAGTTTAGAGATTTTAAGCACTTATTCTATGCTGTTGCATACAAAAATCCTATTTACAGTCATCCTAAACACCAAATGTTAATTCTAAAGAAACTTTAATTTTAAAGGAACATGTAGGGTAGGCGTCTGTCACCCAGGTGTGGCACTGGGTCTTCAACTACCAACAAAGAAATTATTTGTCTGAATGCTATTTGTAAATTATATAGTATGGACTGGAATTATTCAAGGACTACACTGAGTAGGTAGGAGCATGCAAGGGGATAAACATAGACCTTATTTTGTTTTTAAAAGTGATCAAACACAGTTGTCTATTTACATGACCATACTGATTTTTACATGTATCTAACACCAAAAAATCCTATTGCAGCATGTATTAGTGATAAAAATTTATAAATATTGGACATTTTAAAAGTACTTATTTTAGTGGTTTTTCTTTTTTTTTCCCCATACAAATTTCAAGACTGCTCAGTCTGGAAAGGGCACTTCCAGTCTGGAGTCTGGCCACCTGTTTTTTGGTTTGTTTGTTGTAAAAGGGTTATTCCTCAGAACGTGATCTTCATAAATTTTAATGCATGAACCCTACAGGAAAAATATATATTGCTCTTCAGTTAGGTCTGGGAAAATCTGTCAAACAATAGCATGACATTGACATCATCTCTGTCTGAAAGCAGAACCACAGTGTCTCCTCACACCACCCTGTAACCAGATTTTGGTCCTGGTATGAGGGCTCTGAGGAGGTTTCAGCAGCCCTCATGCCAGAGACTGCTGGTTTAACCCACAAAAAATTGGAAACAACTCTCCAGAAGAGAATATTAAGATTGCAAGTTGATCTGTTCTGAGGGAGGAACATTAAGACTGTTGACAAAAGCAAACTCTTGGGAATAACTGTTCAGACAATATATTCTGATGAGAAAGACATCTGTCCACATATCTGCCCATGTATCTGTTTTGCAGAAACTTCATTTTCAGAGTAAAAGACTTTGTCATTCCATTTTCTTTCCATTTTTTACTGAGTGGTGTGTTAGACAGTTGTCGACCCTTCCACTAAAATCAAGAGAAGCAAAGAGTCCTCTTGGCTCAAGGAAAGCTCTCATTATTCAAGTGAGGGCAGTCTGAAGAATTTCAGGATACCAACTAGCAT